TATAACACGAGTGGTCGACGTCGGGAGTAGTTGTATAAAAGTAAATACCCCTAAAACATTGGAAATGTTCAGAGTGATGTCGCCAAGTGGCAGCGGGCATTATGCGGGGCACCGCAGCGACTGTAGCAGCCTTTATGGTGCTGTGGAAATTAAGCCTCGGATAAAGGGCACCATTCAAAGTGTCGTTTTAATGAACGCCGCGTCCTGCGCCGTTCCGACTTTAGAGGCACCGCTTGTTTATGCGAAAACAACCCGACAGTAATAGAGCGATGCCGATTCTGTAAGCGAGAGTACGCAGGTTTGTATACGGCTTTATGATTGGAGGATCCCCCCTCGGAAGTGGGCTGCCTCCGAAATTTTGAAGTATTTTTTCAAATGTTTCATTTCGTTTTTGTATACGAAATAATTGTGACGGACTCTGTTCACAATTTCCTTTCTGCACTACAGCAACAAATTTTATACGATTTTTACTTTTAAGTATTGACATGCGGATGAATTATATACGTCTGTTAAGTGGACTAGTTGTTAATGGGTAATAACAAAAGGAAGATATCAGTTAGGGCATTACAAAAAGCGGAACATTGAAGCCAAAGTACCGTGAAATCGGAAACCGGCGTGCATAATTCCCGCCATAACTTAAGTGTCAAATTCAAAATGGCGGCATTACTCCGAGTTCGGTCCGCATATATCTCCCGGCCGCAAACCTGTGACAAATCTGCCGGCTCGCTCCGTCCGGGCCCGCGGGCTGCCAAGATTTATCAGCTACCAAGCGGACACACGACAAGTTCGCGTTTGCAGCTCGCTAACTAATCTATAACGATGAAATGCGCTTAAAGTCCAAGCAATAAGTCCGCGATTTGGAGGGCGGTGTGCCCGTTTAATTTGGCCGGGTTATGCATCAGTGGCGCCACGTTGAATGCGACCACAGCGGAATGGCTCTCCCGTCAAATACTACGCAGGCGTTTGATTCGGGTATTTCAAAGATGTTGATATTTGTCAGCGATTTAAAATTATTCTAATTATGCGGCTTTACGGATTTATCGCGTATTATATTTGCTTTTAACTTAAGTTTCGGATATTTTGCAATTTTTATGTTCTCAGGGTGGTTTTAGGTGTTTGATATTTTCATACCGCAGTTTGGCCGGGCTAACGTCAATTTCAAGATTAAAAACGAATTAAAATTACTAAAAATAAGTAAATGTAGCAAATAAAAGATACATATGGAAAACAAAATGTACGGATTCAAATATACATTACAATGTACAATTCCAAGTTCCTTGATTCCAGACAGGCAAAATATTAAAGCGGACTTTTATTTTCTCTAATTTACGAATGAAAAAAGGCCAATAACCAAAATAAAATGTTGCCATAATATTTAATTGTATTGATACAACTTCCTGCTTCCGATCGATTATGCGATCAACGGCTTAGAATGAAATTTGAAGTGTGCACAGTATACCGTATACGCCATATTAAAAAAAGTACTAGTGTCGCGCAACAGTCTTCGCTGTTATCCCAAAGGGTAGGTCCGTACGGGACGTATCACGACCTCACATAAGGCTGGCGTAAAGTAGAAGTATTATACTTCTGTTTCGTCTGGTGAGTTAAGTAACCGGAGCCTACGTTATCAAAGGATGACAACACACCTACAACCCTACAGGTGTAGCAAATATCTATGGGCGGCGGCAATCACTTAATAGCGGGTGAACGGCCAGCTCGGGTGCCACTTTCTCTAAAAAACGCAATTTTATAAATCATTTGCATTAATTAGTACCATCATTAAATATGAATTTAATTAATTATTAGGGACAGTGATTATTAGAGCCTGATTCTCAATAAAAAAAAAAGTAAAACATTTTTAGCAACAAAAAACACAACCTACTTTAAATATGTTTTTTTATATTTTTAGGACACACTTTTTACACAACGTTCTCAAGTCCCAAACTAAGCAACTACTATGGGTACTAGAAAACAGATAGTCATACTTAAAAATACTTTTCTTTTGTAAATAAATAAACATTATACATGTATAAACACCCAGACACTAGAAAAACACTATGCTCATCACACAATATTTTTCCAGCAGTGGGAATCGAACCCACACCCTCTGGCGCAAGAGGCAGGTACACTATCCACTACGCCATTCGAGTCGCTCATATATAACACTCACCATACGTGTTATTTCAATCAAGTCAAGTGCCAACGAAACAATTTTTAAAATCATTGAGTTTTGAGGTAACAGACATAATAAAAGACAATCGAATTGACGACCTCCTACTTTTTGGAAATCTCTTGAAAATGTTCAGTCACGGCCTAGTCGAATTGATGTTAGACTTGCGTTTTGATTTAGTCAAATACTATACTAGTGAGTCTTCAGTTTCATTTTTCTTAGGCAAAAATCACTGCCTAACATTTGTCATGAAAACGACGTCATCTGTCATTGAGGGTCATAAAGCTCAATGAAACGCTTGCTTTCTTTTTTGGGCATGTGATTATAAACCGATATTTAATACATTCAATGCCGTAATTTACTATTTTTCAATTAAATAGGACAGACTGCTCCAGATGTTTCATGTTACATCGTACAAATGATGTTAAAAGGGACTAAAGTCCCTGGGACAAAGCACAATGCATCCTTAATCACTTGACATTGCTCAAGCCCTTTACTATTCGACTTTCTGGAACGCTATCGATAACTAACCATGGTTGTCAACTTTCAGGGTGGTCTAAGCCTATTCGTAAATAAATGTAATATGTGCAATTTGTAAAGAAGCGACGAGTGTATAAAAACGTAGGCACGTTTTGCGAATTATATTTTGTGTGATAGCATGTATGTTTCATCACACGCGTTTTCATTTTTATAAATTTTATACTTAAACTACTTATATAAGTTATTTAGTAACAACTATAATGACGTAAAGTAAATAACTTGATGAAGGAAATAAAAATATTAGTTAGCAATTCGGAACAAAATAATAATATTGTATACACGTTCAATTTATCGGCGGGAAAATTTAAAAAAATCTAGAGTACGTTCATTGAAAGATAATTTATCTATAATTAATCTTAAAATTTCGTTCACTGAATTTCTTACAAAATAGATTTGATTTAACCAAATGTATTTCTTGTATCTAATCATCTACCATTCGCGGCGACTGAATCATTCTCTCAATCAGATTACGAGTCAAGTGTGAGTTCGTTTGAATTAGAATCAATCGATTAGTTCATCGCGCAAAGGTCTGAACGTTGGTTCGCGTTGATGGAATAACAATGGAAGACGAAGAATCACCGGTTGTTCGGATAGACGGCTTGTTCGAGACCCGCAATAAGGCCGGATATGGATGGAATTGATTAGCATAGCCGATTATTCAAATGTGTTTACCTCGTTCTTGTTAACTTTACAAGTCGTGACTCTCATGTTGAACAGCTAGCTGGATTTCAAGTTCATGAATCACAAAGCAAAAGTTGATAATATTGTACTCTTTTATCTAGAAAAGTATTATACTTCCACTTCACGTCAGTCTTCTGTGAGACTTTTCTTACGTGAAAAGTGTTCAAGCTAGCGGGTCAAATTCTCAGCTCAGGTCAAATTATGCTATTATATATATATATATATATAATTTAATCCTTAAAGCAAGAGGGAAATAAACATGGTTATTCCTATCTCGTCTTAATGCTTGAAAATATTTGAATTTAACAGTTGTCATGTCTTTCGTTAAACTTAAAAAACAGTGCATGCCCCACATGTGCCCCAGACACCGTTTAAGCATACGTCTCACGCTAAATCTGTCGATAACGCATGCTGCGGACTGTAATGCGTGCGTTCTAAACGTGTCATCGGTAGAGGAGAGGAGGCAGATTTATGACGTCAGGGGATGTCTTGGGAAACGTCACGTTGACTCATGATGTTATTCCATCTCTTTTTAAATCTAGAAGGTACATGCCTTCGCTTCCACTCCACCTTTAATCGAAATTATATCTTCGCAAAGGGAACTAACGTCAGATTTCTTGGCTTACACCGTATTTAATATATGACAGGGATTTTATTACGAAATACACAGAGTCTTCTTTAATGGTTAAAGGTAAGGGTCTATTCACACAGAGCTCGCAGGCCCTTTTTGCTAGTAAAAGGTTGGATGTAATAAAGAGTGTGGTAAAGTAACGGGTTATAAATCTTGACGTGTCAAATACTATACAGAGTCCATGGTTGCAGGACAGATCTCCTGTCTGTCTGTAAAGAACGTAAAACACCACAGTGTTTTACTACCTAATTTTAAGGGCCTAGTTGTACGGGCTAGCGTCAACTTTTTTAATAGTTCACTTTGATACACGCAGTAAGAGTTTACAGTAGCCTGAAGTCTCACTGTATTAATGTGCATGGAATGTATGAATTATAGAATCTCAAGCTGTCTAACGCAATAAAATCATAAATAACTTTAGATAGATAATATGTTATTCTAGTTCAATGGACACCAGTGCAAGAAGTTATTACACATATAGGTAAACTAGCTATTCGCCCGTGGCTTCGCTCGCCTTGAAACCCTTAATACTTGTAAATATATATATATTTTCAACCCTTTACAACACTTTTTACCAATGTCCTTTCTCAGGATCTAGACTATCTGTGTACCAAATTTCATTTCAATCGGTTCAGTAGTTTTGGCGTGAAAGCGAGACAGACAGAGTTACTTTCGCATTTATAATATAAAGTATGGTTTTTCAATGGGTTCAAGTATATTTTTAAATTAATGATACCTTTACATGAACAGTATACCGTGCAAACAATACCATTTTTTGGATTTAACACTTTGATAGTCGATAGCCATAGCCGCGGGTCAGACTGACCATGGATGATGTTTGTCAACGGCCAAAGTTGAGTTCAGAGTTCGAAAGACAGAATAGATCTCAATGGACGTACCCTGTTACCTCGAAGACTGAACTTAATAAGTTCGGTTGTCGTGGAGCTTTTAAACATAACCGGGGGGGAGTACTTTCTTTAAATGTTCCGCAATCGCGGCGGCATTTGTTCCGAGGGCCGGGAAGTGGGGCAGGGCGGCGTCGGACGCACCGGATTGTTTCGCTGCGAGCCGAGCGACTACTGCAGATTGGAAAGGGAGCAACAAAAGGCGAATGAATTGCTGCCTCTTTTGAATTTCCGCCGCCGTTTGCCGCGTGGCCTTTTACGCGGGCGCGGGACGGATTTCGACGGCCGCTCGGGCCAGTGCCCCGACGTGTGGATGACGTGCCGGTATTGATAATGGGAACGGTAATTATTTTGTTCAAGGGAAGATGAAAGACGCGTCGCTCATTTGCAACTGTCAAATGTCAACTGTCAACTGTCAACTGTCATGGCAATTTTCAACCGACTTCGAAATCGGAGGAGGTTCTCTATTCAACTGTAATTTTTTTTATTTTGTTTGTTACCTCATATTACTGGTACTCATTCCACTGGGTGACCCGATTCTGAAGATTCTTTACTTATTTAAAGGCTGATGCCTCCCATCTGGTTCCATATTAATTTCATTGGTATCGGATCTTGGGCTCCGGAGATACTTAGGGAAATCCTGAAAATCAATCATAAAACGAGATATTTGTAGTCAATTTTGTTTTCGTTAATAAAAGTGGATTTGTTATAGTTATAGGCCTCCGGTTAACTCACTCAGCGGATTAACATCGAAATTATTATTATTGAAGTGGTATGGTCGCGAAAGACCGTTAGAAAAGCAGTAGATGCTCCTTCACTCACTTTCCTCCCTGATGCAAACAAACATCACGTGAAGCCAATGGCGCCGTGCGGTAATAGTCGGGTATTTACCCATCGAAACAAAGCTGAAACTGATATATTTATTTTAGTACATGCCCTGTCCAAAATCCAAAATGTATTTTATTTTATTTTATTTTATTTTATTATGTATGGAAAACTTACAGCTAACATATAACTATTAACATATAAATAAATAGAAAAGAGATAGCCATTTACAAGTTCTCGCAAATAGATCAAGGAGTAATAACATGAGGTAGGTAGAGATTAATTAAACATTACAACAGATAGAGAACAATTAAAAAAAAAAAGAAGTATAACAATAATAAATATTACACTAAATTATACATAAAAAAGCAAAATAAACACCATAAAACTTAAGTGGAGAAATATTTGTTGGCTAATAGTTTCTTGAGCTGAGAATCGCTGGTAAAGTATAAATCAATGTCTACATTACGTAGTATGTTATTAAAAGATTTGCAAGACCGTATCATGAAAGAATTTCGGCGATAATTGCTATTGACCAATGGTATAGAAAGGAGATATTGGTTACGCACGTTACGAGTGTGAACCCGAAGTTCTACTTTGCTTAACAGTTCTGGGGAATCAATGGTACCCTTGGCTATTTTAGAAAGGAAGGATATGTCCGCAAGTTTTCTCCGCTCGTACAAGGGAAGAGTATGGAATTTGATACATCGACTATTATAGTTAGGAATGTATTGTTTTGTTCTGAACTGTAAAAAGCGCAAAAATCGTTTTTGAATCCGCTCAATTCTGTCAATATATACATTATATTGTGGGTTCCAAATTTGGGAGGCATATTCCAAATGGCTACGGACAAAGGTACAGTATAGAATTTTAAATGTTTTTTTATGTTCTTGAAGTCGGTTGCAATCCTTAACATAAAACCCAGCGCTTTATTAGCTTTCATGATAATATAATCAATATGGGCATCGAACAGCAATTTAGAGTATGCACGCTACTGCCTTATTATTACTATGGTAGAGTCGTGACTTGTAAAGTTGTTCTTATACTGATGCTCTAATGTTCCTTATACTGCTTTCAATTTGGAATATGAAGTTTTTGGGTTAATTTAACTATTAGTCAAATATCAAACCACTTCTAAACAATTTTCAACAACCTTTCTTTATCTCTAAATTTGTTTTGCAGAACTATCCTGTGGTTTTTCACATTCCAAGATTAAGCATAGAATTTTTTCTATGCTTAATCTTTGCTATTTGATTTTGAGTTCTAAAACAGAATATTATTTAATTTATATTTTGTTGTTTTTTGATACAAGGATAGCACGCGGGAATTATTTTAAAAGTGGATTTAAGTGGGCAAAACAATATTAGATAATCATATGTTTTTATTTACCCGATTAATACAAGAGTTTTATAAACTCAATAAACTGAATACAGGATATTGGAAAACACAAATATGTGAAATGAGCGCTTAGCCGCTTGTGTAATCGGATCGCAGAGAGCTGAGTAATGACTAATCTATTTCTAGATATTTGAAAACCTCTATCTCAGTGACTAAGACAGGAAGTGCGACGGCGAACAAGAATGCTCATTGTTGTATTGATCTCGAAATATGAGAATGGCTGAGAATCTTTTTATATTTCAGGTCTTATCTTTAGGCATGAACCGGACCGATCACAACTTTGAACGTCTAAGTAGTATTTTCTTTGTGCAAAGGATTTGTACTTTGTATTTAGTAATCTTGTGGTGAGCGACAGATTTTTTTTAACTCATGTCAGCTAAAGGTATAAAAAAACAACTAAGATCTTCAGAAATTTCATCTACGAGTGATTGATAGTGTGATATCCATACTACGCTAAGGAGAGTCATTCTTAGAATGCCAGCACAATAAGATATTAATTATATCTCATTATAATTACATAAAGTACATGCTGGGGTCAGGTCATCAGATAACGAGAAAGTGTTTCCACGAATCCGCATTATTAAACTCACGACCTATTATTGCGGAATGAGTTCATAACATAAATATGGAATGAATTACGGTTATAATGATGCTACAACAGTTTTATGAAAACGTATCATCAATTAAGTACTGATTAATGTGAATACATAAATATAGTGAAACTACTTTTTTCGATACTGCTATCAAATTATATGTCCATATTCTGACCTTATAAAAAAACTCAGTTTGGAAATTCAGTTTTTTGTATTTACAAATAATAAAAAAGAACCGAGGAAAAGTACAGCTTTATCGACAAAAACAAAACGGACTGAAAACTAACAAGCGAAACAAACAAAAGAAATCTGATTTAACGCCATAAATTACACGCGGACAAAAACCGAAATCCGAAACAATTATCTGTAGGTCACACGAATAGTTGTCCCATCTGGGAGTCGAATCCACGACCCAGGCAACGAAGCCGGTGGCGCAGCTGCCACATTCACAGATAAATTTTATTTATTTTATTTTGAAGAGTGCCCTGAGAACTAAAACTAACAATTGTTTATCACAATCCTTTATTTCCAAACCGGACCCGCGGTTAAATGCTTTGCTTATACGACAGACATTAACGGAGAAGCGAGTCGGCAGCAGCGACTTTGTTGCGGAGTGTTGGCGTACCCATCTCAATCGCACACGTATTCACGGCTTATTACAATATTAAGGTATGTGCACAATGCATTTGGAATATAAATTTGTTAGAAGGTTTAATGTTTTGTAACGGTCACTGCACTAACGTTCAGGTCCGTCCGGGTACTGCCTCACAGAAGAGCGGCGTGAAGTGAAAGCGTCTGCCTTTCGTCTGGTGAGTGAGGTAGCCAGAGCCCACTTTATTAAAAGACGGCAAAGTATCTGCAACACTACGGGTGTTGCGAATGTCAATGGGCGACGATTATCGCATAAAATCAACCGCCAGCGCGTTTGCCACCTTCTCACACCAAGAAAAAATATAAGGATCGAGAGACGGAGAGATAACAGACCAAATAAACTCGACATTGCATTCTCTCCTCCATCAGTCTGCTACTTTTTCCATACTCAGCTTCGAGAGCAGTCATAGTTTGTCATTTGCCGCTTGCTGCGATGTTACTAGTTAGCTCAGGTAAGATCAAGTAAAGAAGTCAAGTATGGACCCGCTTATGACCAAAAAAACCCTGGTCGCCGCTATCAAACTTTTAACAAGCTCACAACTTTAACAGGGTGAGGGTTATAAAAAGTTTTATACACCCAGCTTCGTGCGGTGAACTGCCAAAAATGCAGTTTGTCTGGTTTTGCAATATTTCACATCATGAACTTTATTCAGTTTAATTATTCCTTTCCTTACTCATGTCGATTTATTTCACGTAAAGATTATCGTTACTCTGTGATACTGTTTCAATGGATGTTGGTTTTTTTTATTATTAGGTTTTTTTTATTTTCAGTTATATTTTACAAAATATGTACAAATCATACATTCATTTTTATTTATTCTTAGTACTAGAGTAATTCCTATGTTTTTCAGATGTAACTTAGTTGTAATTAAGACGTGAACTTCATGATTGTTATGTACTCATGTTTGTAATCGGGGTAAAATTTCAGCAGCCCACTACTTTTATATAGCAAATAAAAGAAAAATTTAAAAGATAGAGAACTATAGAGACATATCACTTACGAATTAATCAACAAGTAGAATTCGGTAGTCACCTATAGTTTTCGAGAAAAAACATAATTAAATCTTGTTGTTTTCACTAAGAAAATCAACCATTTTACTTTTGTCAACATTTCCACATTTAAAAACCTTCCGTAAAACACTGTCTTGTCCACACTTAAAATATTCAATTTTTTTACAAGAATTCACGATAACACAAAAAATTAAAAAGTACTGAACGATTTGATTTCGATTGGAATAAATTTTTATTAATAATTAAGACTAATACAATAATGGGTTAACCTTCTTTTTCAATATGCATTGTAAAATTACCTTTATGTACACCAATCGAAAGTTTACACTGCCTTGCAGGTGTTAGAGACGCGGAAGCGGCAGCGGCTACCGATCTTAAAAGTTCTTTGGGCCTCAGCAAATTGACTGCTCATAAAGTGAAGTGATGGTAGTCTATTCTAGTATGTTATATTTGGTTTTGAAGAGATTTCGTATTTATATTGTGCGTTATTGCCGTCGAATTTAGAGTATCAATCATGTATGATAGCGCTTTATCCTATTTTATTAACTTTAATGGCATTAAATATGTATATACGCAGACCGAGTGCCTAAACATAATTTCTGCAAGTCATATACAGTAAAAACATACATACATTTTATTCAAAAGACAGACGAAGGTTTTGAGTATCTACATATCCTATTTATAACGGTATCTAAATAAAGATAAAGAAAGAAAGAAATATTTTCTAGGTACATAACAAACATAACATAAAATAAAAAAATATATAAGCCATAAATAATAACTCAACTTTAAACAGTGGCGATAAATAAGTCATCAAATATTGTTAATCATCCGTTATTTACATTATTAT